AATTGTACGAACATTTACCAAATAATTTAAAACAATTACGCAATACATTAGGCTTCAAAAAAAAATTAAAAAAATTTATTAACACGATTGGGAGAAATCAAATTAATAAAATAATCTCAAATATTACACAATAAATGCTCTACCATTCTTACCAATAATTTCTGTTTTCTCTCTATTTTATTATATTTTGCAATTCAACATACATATGATCCATGCACAGGCGTTGTCCTCCTATGGATATATTATATTATTTATTTACTCGTTTCATGTTCCCGGTATTTTAGAGTAAATAAATATTATTTATTATTTATTTATTTATTATATAAGAATTAATGGGCATCTACTGGGTCGATCCACAGTTGCAGTCAAAGCTCTATGCACCTGAAATTCAGTAATGACTGATCAGGTCAATGAGTGACCGCAGATTTTATAATTTATTGTTTCGGAGTTTCCAAGACAGGGGAAAGCTCTTATAGAGTGAGAGTAATCAAATAATTGCCCGAGAAGGTATACTTACGCTTGGTCACAATTTGTAGAAATGCCTGAAGTTTTTAATGTTCAAGACATTTTATTGATACCTGTTATTGTGAAGGTTGAATGAAATCAGCTGTTTTGTTCTTGAGAAATCTATATGCTTCGTTTACCTAACTCGAAAGTCCGCGGTTACCGTCTTATTGTGCATTCATCATCTCATTTCATAGTTTTGGTATGGAAATGCAGTCCAATGCGTGTACAGTCATGCAGTTAGGCGTGTTGTCTGTACGAGGGCGCTACTATCGCAAGGCGAATTTACCATCTTGTAGTAACGGGTGATTTCTTAAGAGGTATAGGATTTGATTTTCAAAAAAAAAACACCAAAAATTTGGAACAACGATTAAATCTTTATTTGAGTCGATAGAACGTTCGATATAATTTAATGTTTAAAGATTATTTCATGTAAATGTTGGCCGCGGCTCCGCTTTAGATGGCCCATGCGCAAGGTCCAATTTTGGCACACTCTCTCCAACATATCGGCCGGTATCTCACGAATAAATGCTTCAATATTGGGTGGTATGAATAAAAATGAAGTACCTTCTAATACTACAAGCATTAGCATTTTCTACAAAGTATGTACTTCAAATCTGAGAAGAAGCTACATTTTCAAGTAGATACTTTTTGTTTTACCGGAACTTACTATATCAAGTAGTATTTACTGAAAGTACCTACTTCTTGTAGTAGATGCTACTGATTTGAAGAGGAATTTAGTATATGCTTGACTTTTGCGAAGTTGGTATAAGTGCACCTTCAGAGAGAATACTACAGTTAGTTTTGTTTAGTTTTCTTTGAAAATGGAAGGAATACGCAGCAGAAAAATATACGTATATAATGCAAGACGCCGCTATCATAATGATATTTTATATCATAAAATATTTCGGTAATTTAACAATAATATTATTATTGTTTTTAATTACTTTTAAAATTGTTTATTCTTTTAGGTTTAGTAGAGAAAACGTATCTTACCTAGCGAATATATTTCTTCCAGAAGTAAATGAAACTCGAGGCGGTGCTCTTACACACATCCAACAAATGGAAGTATTTTTAAGAAGCTTAGGTATGTTTCAATAAATGAAATAGGATAAATAATCTAATTTTTATATCTTTATTTCAGGAGACCCTGGATTTCAGCTAGGCGTTGGACTTGATGTTGGGATTCATCAAACAACCGTTTCAAAAATTATTGATAAGGTATCACGTGAAATCTGTAGCAAGAAAAATCAGTGGGTTAAATTCCCTGCTACGGGAGCTATGTTCAACAGAGCTAAAGATGAATGGGCAGCACATAATACAATACCTCATGTCATTGGCGCCATTGACTGCACTCACGTGAAAATTATAAAACCATATGTACATGGCGATGAATATATTAACAGAAAAGGAGTTTCTACAATAAATGTACAAGCAACATGTAATAGCAGAGAAATGTTTACCAGTGTTGTTGTTTCCTGGCCTGGGTCTGTTCATGATTCTAGAATATGGTACAATAGTCCTATTTACCCTATTATGTATAATAATCAAAAAAGAGTTTGTCTTTTGGGTGATTCTGGATATGGTGTAACTCCTTGGATGCTTACACCTTTCAAAGATCCCATAACAAACATTCAAAAGTATTTTAACAGAATACATGCAAGAGAACGTGTGATTATAGAAAGATACTTTGGCCAGTTAAAAACAAGATTTCCTATGTTGAATTATACAATCCGACTTAAAACAGATAGAACATGTCGATATATTATGTGTGCATTTATTTTACATAATTGTGCAAAGTTTTTGAACGATCCAGATGAACATTTTGATGAAATGAACATAGAAGAAGAAGCAGTTATGCCTGAATTATATGCCGAACCAAACAACGGTGAAGTCCGACGTCGAGGTATCCAGTTTAGAAATGAAATTGCAACACTAATGTACAGACAGCGTTGAAAAAGTAAATAAATATTTGGATTGTTTGGATTTTATACATATTTATTTTATGAAGGTTCTGACAAAATAATTAAACCTAATAAACATGTTATACAAATAATAAACATAAACCTTATTTCTCTTTTAACAAAAAAAAACATATTAATCAGTAGGTATTTTTGAATCCAAATGAATTCAAAAGCTCGCCTGTTGTCGTGCAAAGTAATCTTCTACGAATTGCTCTACAGCTGCTGCGGCCCTTTCGACAGCTAGAGCGGCCTTTTCTTGAGCTATAGCAGCTTTTTCTTGAGCTGCGGCAGTGTTGACTTGTTGAAGCAGTAATTTCTTTTGTAATTTAGCCATTAATTCTGTATCATCACAAAAAGGTATTTGACTCTTTTCATCGGTCAATGATATATCAACGTCTTGACTGGTGCCCGCAGTTACACCTCTTAAAACATTATTAAATTAAAAATTTTGCACCACAATAGTATTATGATTTTATATGGAGGAAAAGTGATTTTATGACGAGCCTGAATTAGACAGCCATGAAAATTAACTTTTCCTCCAAGTAAAATATGCTGTTTTTCTTCAAATGTCAAGAAATTAATCGCGGAAAAGTAAAAAGTGAAGCTCCGGCTGATGAAAAATAAAACTTCGTGGCCGCATACAAGTCAAGCAATAAATGATTTACTGACGTTTGAAGAAAAAATATATAATATCAAATAATACAGTACCTGGCACTTGTTGAATTACTGGATTCTCACTCCCATTCCATAGGTTGAAAAATTTTTTTTGCCACTCATTTAACTTAATTTTCCTATTTCCTGTTTTCTTCATATCGGTAATATTTTTAATTTTACTTTTCATATTATTAACTTTTTTTAATACCTGTTTTGCATCTAAATTTTGTTTTGTATTTCTGTTATACGTCTCTGTGAATTCTTTAAGTGCTTTGTCTTTGGCAGACTTAACGGGAGGTGTCATTTTTTTATCCAGAATAATTTTGCAGTCTTCTAACATCGTAACAAAGGCTAACTACAAATCTTCATTTTGGGACTCTTCTTGATTTGGCATTTCCTCGTCGGAAGACATTTTAACGCGCGTGCCGTACAATACCAAGTATGTGAATATTTCAAATAAAATAAAACAACAAGTGTGACCTGTCGAAACTTGTGGAAATGAGAAGATGCTACTCAATTTAAAGCATTTACTTCGGAATAAAAGTAGATACTACAGGCACGATAGTAAGTACTTCGACGTAAAGCAAATACTACCGGAACTGATTGGATACTTCATGGCGAAGTATTTACTTTGAAGTAGATTCTTAAAATTGTAGTATAAGCATCTACTTCGTTTTTATTCATACCTCTCATTGTCTTCCACTGCGTCAATCGTTGCTGGTTTATCCCTATAAACATTAGCCTTAACATGGCCCCACAAGAAATAGTCCAACGGCGTTAAATCACACGATCTAGGCGGCCAATTGACGGGCCCCAAACATGAGATAAACTGTTCACCGAACTCGCCTCTCAATAGGGCCACTGTTTCGTGTGCGGTGTGGCATGTGGCACCGTCTTGTTGAAACCACATGTCAGCCAAGTCCAGCTCTTCCATTTTGGGCAAAAAAAAATTTGTTATCATCGCAGGGTAGCGCTCGCCATTCACAGTTACGTTCCGGCCATTGTCGTCTTTGAAGAAGTACGGCCCGATGATGTCACCAACAGTGATTTTTTCGGGATGCATTGGTAGCTCTTGCAATGCTTCTGGCTGGTATTCACTCCAGATGCGGCAATTTTTCATGTTAACGTACCCATTCAACCAGAAATGAGCCTCGTCGCTGAACACAATTTTTCGATAAAAATGTGGATCTTCCTCCAACTTTGCCAGCGCCCATTCACCAAATGGGAAACGTTGTGGGAGGTCGTGTGGCTTCAATTCTTGCACCAGCTGTATCTTACAAGGTTTTACACCCAAATCCTGTCGCAAAATTTTCCACGTAGTGGAGTAACAGAGGCCCAATTGCTGCGAACGGCGGCGAATCGACATTTCACGGTCATCACTAACACTGGCGGATACAGCCGCAATATTTTCTTCAGTCCTCACTCTACGTCTGCGTGTTGATGGTTTAATGTCCAATGATGTAAACTGGGTTCGAAATTTAGTCACAAGCTTCCGTATAGCTCCCTCAGTAGGCCGACCAAATTGCCCATAAATTGGAAGCAGTGCTCGATGCACTCTCTTAACCGAGCATGAATTTTGATAGTAAAATTCAATAATTTGCAAGCGTTGTTCGTTCGTAAGTCGATTCATGGTTAAATTATAGACCAAACTGAACAAGTTTGACAATGACACAAGACACGATTCACGCGTCATCTGTCAAAAACAGTGTTGCCAAAAAAATACTAGCAAAAAAATCACCCATTACATTCTCGTACACGAATCGGACTCGTGGTTGTGTATTGATCGCGCTAAGGCTATGTACTTATCGCACAGCCCACGTATATAGCAACCCGTGATTTACCTTAAGTAAATTTTGAAACCTAGTATTTCCCTTCCAGTTTGCAGAAACATGCGAAGAATGGTTGCGATGGTGACTATCCGGCGTATGGCGTAACAGGACCTAACAAGGACCTTTCTCCAACAGGAGAACGGAGGCTGGCTCAATCAGCTCAAATGTACCATTACCAACATCAGAAGCAGCAGATTATTTCTATGGAGAGGTAATAGGTTTTATCTTTGTTAATCCACCATTGCCTAAGTTGCCATCAGAGCCTTCTGTAACGTAACCTATCAGAAGAGGAACTTAAATACCGTCAAAATATTGCAGACTCCAAATGTAGATTGATCCATGGTACGATATGTACGTGTGAAGCGCTTGGTCTTGGAACATCTTTAACCATCATGGTACATGCTTATTTTTCCCACTGCATACGTTACGGTATGGCAACTCATAGAGCAACTGCCTTAGCTAGACGGGATCCTAATCGTTAGCTTTAGTTGTACGATTTCCAGGGTCCAACCTGGAGACAGGAACGGATCAATTTCGGAAGCTGAGAGTGATGAAGAAAATGAAGAAGGAGATTATACTGTATACGAGTGTCCTGGCCTAGCACCGGTAAGTAAAAACTTTCAAGGCGTATCCCAACATTTACTCAAGTTTCGAATTAAATAGGAAAAGCAGTTAACCCTTTATATTGCTACTTTTCTATTCAATAATAAAGAACAGTTTTACAAATTTAAGTATAATAGAGCCTTTTGTGTCGCTTATGAGGGCATTAGAGGGTCGCTTCAAGGTTATATCAAGGATATTTTCAAAAGAAGCCGAGCAGTTGAGTCCAACCGCGTGTCGTTTAAGTTTTTCTTGTTATTTAAGTCCGAATCAGGGGTGAATTATAATAATTATTATCTCCCAACAGTCTCCCAATTACACACAGGACAATATTACATATGCAAACCATAAATCCAAATTAAATAATAGTTACATATAAACAAAAATTTAATAAGCGGAAAGTACGAAAAAACGGATGAAAGAGATGAAAGAAAAAAAAATGTTAGATTTTTGACATTTTGTCAAACATCAATACGTTTAACCTCTAGATAAAAATATGAAGTCGACATTTACAATAAACATATTTATAATGAAAGTAAATGCCAGACATATACTAAGTGACTTATAAATCCGAACACCCAGTTTAAATGGTTTTATTTTATTAAAATTTTGTATAAGTACTTAATGAAGCATAATAAGTAAATGATAAAAATTTCAAAATGATTGCACTGCTGTAAAGCCCTTTGACATTTAATAATGTGTGGATGCACCCTGATGTGCTACGCATTCTCCAACGCGCCTAGGCATGCTTCTGATCAGGTGGTCAATGTCCTCCTGTGGTATCTCATTCCAGGCAACCACCAACTCCTCTCGAAGTGCTTCTAGAGTCTGAGGAGGACGCTGCAAATTGAGCAATCTCCTACCCATCATATCCCACACGTGCTCAATTGGGGATAAGTCGGGAGATCTTGGTGGCCATGGTAACAATGTGACATCATTATGTTGAAAGAAGTCTATTGTGACTCTTGCAACATGTAGTCGGGCATTATCTTGTTGGAATGATGGATCTGCCAGGGTGTCACGATAGGGTAAAAGATGGGGTTCTAGAACTTCGTGGATATAACGCTGCGCGTTCATGTTACCTCTGATGAAGATTAAAGGTGACCTGGAATCATAAGCTATAGCACCCCAAACCATAACTCCAACAGTGTGATGAACATGTCTTTCAACAAAAAACTCTGGATTCCTCCTTTCACCACGTCGCCTTCTAACCCTGGCACGACCATCGTGCATGCCTAAACAAAATCGAGACGCGTCACTAAAGACAATACTGTTCGATTCCTGATCCCAGAGTGACCGTTGTCTGCACCACTCAAGGCGATTACGTCGGTGTAAGGGTTAGAAGGCGACGTGGTGAAAGGAGGAATCCACGGTTTTTTGTTGAAAGACATGTTCATCACACTGTTGGAGTTATGGTTTGGGGTGCTATAGCTTGTGGTTCCAGGTCACCTTTAATCTTCATCAGAGGTAACATGAACGCGCAGCGTTATATCCACGAAGTTCTAGAACCCCATCTTTTACCCTATCTTGACACCCTAGCAGATCCAACTTTCCAACAAGATAATGCCCGACCACATGTTGCGAGAGTCACAATAGACTTCTTTCAACATAATGATGTCACATTGTTACCATGGCCACCAAGATCTCCCGACTTATCCCCAATTGAGCACGTGTGGGATATGATGGGTAGGAGATTGCTCAATTTGCAACGTCCTCCTCAGACTCTAGAAGCACTTCGAGAGGAGTTGGTGGTTGCCTGGAATGAGATACCACAGGAGGACATTGACCACCTGATCAGAAGCATGCCTAGGCGCGTTGGAGAATGCGTAGCACATCAGGGTGCATCCACACATTATTAAAGGTCAAAGGGCTTTAAAGCAGTGCAATCATTTTGAAATTTTATCATTTACTTATTATGCTTCATTATTAAAATAAAACCATTTAAACTGGGTGTTCGGATTTATATGTCACTTAGTATATTAAGAAGAGGATGGTCCACTCTCAAATACAAACGACTTGAATTGAGTATTTTTGAGATACTGTCAAAATGTTTATGACAAACAGCAGAAATTGAGTTAAAATTTGCACATAGTTGATACTAGAGACTTTAGAAGCAAATTAGTTCTAGCTATGTCACAGTAGTATGTTTTGATGTTTCTATTAGTACTCAAACAAAGCACAAAGAAATTAACACTAGATAAAACTATGCTGGCGTCTAAGTTATTATGTAAAACTTTATACAAAATGGCTTTAGAATTACATTTTCGTCTTAGATCCAGAGTTTCTAATTCAAATCTAAAAGTAATATTACTACCGTCAGTTTTGAATCTGAGTAGTCTCAAAAAGCGTTGTTCACTTTCTCAATTGGTATTTTGTGTTTCGAGTCATGAGGATAGCAAATAATTGACGCATATTCTGATTTTGAGAGGACAAAAGTCGAATACATTGTTGTAAGAACCTTGATATTAGTAAAAAACCGATAGTTTCTCATTATGAACCCATTCGCCTTCGATGAATTGAGTCAAAAACAACACTAAGATCTCTAGTTTCTGACTACGAGAAAGCACCTCATCGCTTCATAAAGAGAAATACAACGGTCTAGCGGGACGATTTCTAATAACCGAAACGAGAAAGTTAACGACCAGGAAACTTTTTGTTGAATTCATATCCATATCAATACCTTTCAATTCACAGTGTGAATTTGGAAACACAGTTTATGGAGGCTGATGTAAAAAATTCTGTCAGCCTCCATTCATCTCGGACGTATATACAGGGTGTCCGCAAAGTTGGGGTTTTCCTTTACACGACGTGTAGATCTTGAAAACATAAGCAATTTTTCTTAAGCGAACCGAGATAAAGGGCTCTGCAACATCAAAAATATCTGAATACCGTCCTGTAGCCGCGACATCCCCGAGTGGTACTAGGACACTAGCTCAACCCGACGACAGAACTGGGTCGGGGTCAGTGTGTCAGGTCAGTATGCAACCTTCAACCGACGGTTACGGTCACGCGTGTAGAGGTAATCGCGTAGACGAGAATCCCTCAACAAGCACTAGAGACGTGGCTACAGAAGTGCAAGTATCAAAAACTAAGTGTGGCAAACGCTGCGTGAAGAGGGGCTGTATCCGTTTCACGTCCAACGCGTACAAGCCCTTCAACCTGACGATTTTCCAGCAAGAGTGCGGTTTTGTGAGTGGTTGTTGCATCAGCATGACAATAATCCGGACTTTTTGAAGTGCATATTGGTGACAGACGAATCTACGTTCACGCGTAATGGGGTGAATAACTTTCGCAACACTCATGTTTGGTCAGTAGAAAATCCGCACGCTGTCCGTCGGGCACATTTTCAACAAACATTTTCGGTGAATGTTTGGGCTGGCATGATGAACGGTATGCTCACTGGACCATTTATTCTCCCAAATCGATTGGACGGGATGCAATACCTAGACTTTTTACGCAACATTTTGCCTTCCTTGTTTGCCTGCGTCTGCTCGGTAGCGCATCAGTTGATTTCATTTTCTGTTGGAGCGGTATGATTTCGGGCAGAGACGTACTTAGCCCTTCTCGTCAACTGGAGAGTGAGTACTTTTTCCTTTATTTTTGTTTACTTTGTTATTTCAAGGGTAGTTGTTTCTGAAAAGGAAAACCCCAACTTTGCGGACACCCTGTATAGGCAATGTGAATAACATACCTCTTTTTGTTTGAGTTGAAAAAAAGATTCATGGTTATTTCAGACTGGCGAAATGGAGGTTAAGAACCCACTTTTCCAAGATGACCCGACGCCAGCACAAACTCCAGCCTCGAAGCCTAATGAAGGAGAAGAGAAGAAATGAAGAAATGAATGAGAGGAAGAAAGATCATTCCAAAATAATACATCGCAGTCTCATTTTAAAATGTGTGCCCTAATTCCACTAGTGTACATTTGTTCAATTAAGATGAGATGTTTGTGCTTTCTTGGGATACAGAATATTAACATAAGAGGGGAAAAACCTACATCTCTATTCATATTTTAATTTTCCCCGTCTGCTAGCGAGGAAGTATTCTAATCGCGAAAAACTTCAAAAGTGCGACATTACGTTTTTTGGAAGTCATATGATACTTACATCGCGAAAAACTGTCATTCATTTCCGCCGTCATGTCTATCGATCTGCCTATCTGACCTTCAATAAATGCTTACCATAATTACATTTTCAAATGCTATTCAGTACCACAATGGCAAAATTCCCTTAGTAGATGGGACTTTGGGTATGCTTCTATCAACTTTATACGTCTGATAGAGATTATTTTACCCTGCTTCCGCGTGTTGTTCCTCCTAGACCGTGCTGATGATTGCCAATGTGCATAAGGCAGCACCGGCAGAATGACCCTAAACTGGTATTATCAGTTGGAATTATCATGTGTGTATGCACTACACTTGGGTAATATCATTTGACTTTTGAACATGGTCAGTTTTTTCTGTCGATGTCTAACTCTTACTGCCCTCAGATATCAATTAAAAGGTCGTATTATAAAGTATTGTTTAAATCTAAAAGGCCTAGATAATAAAATATTATCACGATAGATACAATAGGTAGATAAAGTGAAACATGTTCTATAGGCTCAATAAAGAATATAGGGATCCGAAAAGGCTGAGTTAAATTTACTCTATTATATCAGCATGTTAATCAGGCATAAACTTGACTCAGCGAACTTTTCCTAGGAATCTCTATTCTCGATTCCACGTAACTTTGAAATGAGACTGCGTAATATTCCCCAAAAAAATATCAACATCCTTTGTCTTTTTTGTGATTCTAATAGAGGTCTCTATTGAGTTGATAAATATTTCTAGAGTGATATATTTATTTTATGAGAAATCAATGTATAGAATATATAGAGAGAACATTTATTATTAGGAAGATAATGGAATATAAATCTATACGTCATACGTCTACCAAATACAACGTATATAGCTCATTGTACAAATGAAAAATAAAACCCTTGGGTCCATAAAAAATATCAAAATCTGCTTGTTGTCTAATTTGTATGGCTATTTGCAACTTCCAGATATAGAAGTTTCAACAACATTCTGCATCATAGAACGATGATTTCGGTGCTATTTTTATTTGTATCAGAGAGTTGCAAAAATATTTTATCTCCTAAATGTACACCGCCAAATATTGCTTAATGAAAAAAAAGCGAAGCAAAAAATGTGTTTCATTTCGTCAACATTTTTGACACTGTAATATTTTAAAATACCTGAGCTATAACGAAAGCAAAAGTTTTCCTACAGTGACTGTACTAATATAGGAATTTAGGCGACATCTACTGTCCAGTTACTGAAGGTAGTTTCCTATAGTAGTTGCTGAGCTTTCTACGTTTGCTGTTACAAAGTCCTCCCTTCACGACTACAGATTGCTCTGTAATGTTGGCGACATCTGTCTGTCACAAACTAAAGCATAATACTTTTTGTCATGGGTAAGTTAGCGTGCTGTAGCCTTTACTGTGGAAGTTCGAAACTCCATTAGGAGATGTCTCTGCCATATTGTACTTTAGCGTCATCTACTGTACAGTATTGGTAAGTTTTTTAATCAGCGTAGCTAATAAATCACTGAACTGTAACTGTTTTGGTTAACTTTTGTTTAAAGTTAGGAGATGGCACTGTATTAAAAGTGACGGGTGACATCTCTCATGTATTCGATTAAGCATTCTAAGCTTTAGTAGGTGATAAGAAAGAATTCTGTAATGTCAGTTCAAAAATGAGGTTAAATTTCAAAAATATATAACATAACCTCAATCTGGCCCATGCTTAGTGTTTACTTTTTTTTAGCTGTAGGATTTGGAAATCAAAATGAAAAATAAATCCACACGACATAAAATCCAAAACACATTCAAGGTAAGTTTTCTGGTTGAATGTTGAAACATTGCATAAACTTTACGATTACTAATTTTAGTTTTTGCCGTTCGCTGAACGTATCGCAAACATCGATGTTGATGTTTTTCACAAAGTTTCACACGAATATGAAGACCAATACGAGGAAAACGAATCTTACTTCCACCAGACCATAGAAAAATGGAACGTTCTGAACCTAAGTGAAGGCTATGAAGCATTTCGGAAGGAGGTTCGAGATCATGAGATCATCACACTCCCACAATTGTTGCTTGTGAAAGAGCGTGTCACAGAGACATTGTTGAAGCATTTAAAGCTGAGAGATACTTTGTATTTGCAACCATTGCTTGAGTAAGTCATTTGTTGTTGCCAGTATTCATTAATTGAGATCCCATATGATGAATTTCCTAGTCTACTGTTGTAAGTTTTTTTGTGTTATCATTTTCAAGGCATTTCATCGAGAATATACCTAGGGCCTCTACAAACTGACACCACTCTGGTCTATTTTTTTCATAGATTATATCCTAACATTTATTACCTTTGGCTTGTAACTTTCATTTAATTTAAATTTATCATTTTAGGTTGGTTGTGGCTCTTGCAAAAGACCTTCAGAAAGAATTCTATTCCTTCTACCCCCAGTTCCTTGAAGTTTTAATCCTTCTTCTCAACACCAAAGATTCTGATCAACTAGAATGGACCTTTACATGCTTAGCATATATTTTCAAATTCCTTTGGCGACCACTAGTGAAAGATATCAACAAGGTGTTCAAGTCGCTGCTTCCTCTACTGTCAGACACCAAACCAGAATATGTGAATAACTTTGCTGCTGAAAGCTTTGCTTTTGTTGCTAGGAAGGTGAAGGATAAAAGGTCATTCTTGGTGCTTCTCTTAAAAGCAGTAGAAAACCACTCAGATGTAAGTATTCTACACAAAACAATGTAGATTATTATATAAAATGTTGGAAGACCTTGACTTTGACCTTTTGTTGAGATTCAAGGTCAAGTTGTATTTTTTCTATTGTGTTCTTTTTTATATCCTTTCTTTTTTCAGGGAACTGTCGGTTGTGCAAAACTTCTTTTCCATGTAATCAATGGAGTTGATAGGCAATTCCATAGTTATGCAGAAACAATATTCCCTTTTTTGTTGGAGTCATTGTCTGATGAATCTTTGCCTCAAAATACTCTCTGTACTGTCTTGACACATATTGTTGATGATATTTTGAACAATATTCATCCTCAAAAAGCAGATCTATTTTGGACATCTTGCTTAAATAGAATCAATACATTATTAGACAAAAATTCTTCCACTAATGATGAAAATGTTATAAAAAATATTGATCTATTGATGAAAATTATTGAGCAGGCTATTGAGTTCAAAAGTGGTAAGTTTTTGACGAAACCAATAGACATTATCCAACTGATAATGAAAATTTTGAGTGACTCCTCAATGCCTGAATATTTTGTACTCACAGTAAGCAGGATAGGTATCCTCATTTTACTCTCAAAGAACTTGAGGCTGACCCAAGAACAAGCATCAATGCTAACAAGAAAAATGTTAGCATTACAGTATGAAGCAGTATTGTTGAGATTTGTAGAACAGATTTCACCATATACAGGCTTTGAGGCTTTGGTTTTACCAAATTTCTTGAGGTATATGTCTGAAAATCCCAATGATGAATGTCTGCAAGTATTAACTAAGGTTTTATTGAAAAAATCTCCACTATGTGAAAGTGGGATTGGCTACCATGATTGGAAAAAGTATCCAATTGATTTCAAGGAATACAACACAGTGATCATGGAAGTTTTACATAAACAAATTAAGACTGATACTACTGAAATCATGCAGTCATTTGACAGTTATCTTTGCAGTCTCATCTGCTTGCCTCATCTGTTTATAAAACCAATAGATGAGGTCAAAACTGTGCTCCATGAGAAATTAGTAGCTTTTGTGAAAATGTTAGATAACACAGAAAATATTCAGTTTCAAAAACACTTATTTATGCTAAACAACACTTTAGAATGTTTGCTTCACTTAGGGGAATTGAACATAGTACAAAACATATTTATGGGTGATCTTCTTCAGAAACTTTTAGATCATTCTTCTAATCCAAAGTATATTTTGAGTTTGAAGACAATAAGCTTATGTTTGACTGCCCTTCATGAAAACACTGATATTATAAACATGGATACTCTAAAAAAGATTAATAAAACCTTAGAGAAAAACTTCTCCTCACCATACCATGAGATGCGTCTGTTGACAGCACAAATATATACAAATTTCGAAAATCTCAGTGAGTTTAACTTGAAACACAGTCAAGATCCAGAAGTAGTTCCAGAGCAATGGAAAGTATTCAGTATCTGCTATGAAGTAGAATCCACAGATCCCCAAGTGGATACTTATAGAGAGCAATTACAAAGATTAGAAAAATTATCTTATGAAAGACCTCAAATGTTGATGTGTAGTCAAACTGAATTCAAAACTATACCACTGAGATATGTTTGTGGGTCTCTCTACATGAACTTCCGCCTTATTTGGGATCCAGTTACAAAGCTTATAGCTACACATGCTCAGGGAATGTCTATAAATGAATTTTGGGATGTATTTGGCAATGAACTTATTGGAGTGTGTCAGAATATTGAAGGCAAAATGCAGTATCACCCTAGTTACAGCGAAACAAAGTTTGACTTTGTTGGCGAGTTGTTCAGGGAAAGTCAGGAGATCAAGTCAAAGCCTGATTTTATCAACTATAGAATTCTGCTGTGGAAAGCTATGGCGATGTTCCCGAATGTCCCAGAGGCGAAAACCAGGGACGTTTCTGAGCTAGTGCTGAATTTCATTGGGTAAGATTTTGCATCCTCCTCTTTGCGAAATTTCATTCTTCCAGGTTTATAAATTGGTATTTGGGTGAATATTCGATATTTGGGTTTTCAGTGTCCACACAGAATGTCACAAGACTTATCAAATGTGATACATGTTCGACAGGGTCAGACAATATTTTATTTTTGACACTATAGGTACTAGGGAAAAATGTGTGGCCAGAGAGGATGACATTTGAAGTATGAAAAGGTACTTTACATGTGCCACCGTCAGCTAAATAAATTCAATAGTTCTTTATTAAAAGTATTCCATTGCTCTTGAAACAAGAGAATCTTATAGATTGAGAGCTCACAAACATTAAGGGTAACAGATGTGTTTGGAAGCTAGTTATTTTTTTTATAGCTGATTGCAGGCATTTCTTGACAAAAAGTATAGTGTGACATGAAAACTGCCAGATTACTGACGCCACGTACATGACCGCGAAAAAAATTACGATACATTATCTGATTGCTGACTTTTGTATTCAAGAATTCTTGTTTTTTACAGTAATCTGCTATTTTAATCTATTTGGGTGGTTTATTTCCATAATTATTTGCTTAAGATTCTGTTGGCGAGACATTGAAATCCCTACTACCGTTTATCCACCCAGTTATCTAAAATCATATACTGGGATCCAAGGTCATCATGTATTATATTTTTTCTACTTTTTTTGCAGAAATGAATATGTCAGGTTCAACTCCGAAGGTGCTGCATTTTATAGCATCAAACAAAAATCTAATGAAGCGGTAATTGAAGACTTAGAAAATGAAGATGCTTCAAAACAGAGATGTGCCAAAGAGTTCTATTTGAGCAAGAAATTGGCAGTAAGGTATGCAATTTTTTTCATTCAAAATCCGCCGTGCTTAAAGTATCTCGTGGCCTTTTATACCGAAGCAGACCAAATACCAGGGCAGCGCGGCTGCCATGAGGTGCTTAAAGAAACTTCGGTGTATTTGTTTCTGGACAGTGGGATTTTGTAAGAAGGTTATGTGTGCCTTGATCTTCTGCTGACGAGCACTGTTGCACGAGTTGTTGAACTAGCCGTTAGACGTTTAGGCACTTTCATTGTATGTATTCCTCCATCCCAACGTGGTTAATTTCGGTTGTCGACGTACCCAGGTCTTCCGTCAAGGAAATTCCAGAATTACAGAAATATTTTTTCCTTCCAGGACGCTTCTCCAGAAACTGGCAGTATTCTCGCAAATCAAAAGTCCCCTATCAATGTACCGTGAGCCAGAATTGTACAAACTGTATTTCGATCTGCTGCAAAACAAAGCCCCAGCCATACAAAAATCAGCTTTAGACTGTATCATGACTTACAAGAATAAGTCTTTAACGCCGTACAAAGACCGTTTGTATAATTTGGTTGACGAAAATAACTTCAAACACGAAATAACTAGCTTCAGGATAGACAAAGATAGTGACATGGTACAAAGTGAACACAGGGAGGTACTCATACCTCTAGTGATGCAAATTGTTTTCTGTAAGATGAGCGCAAAGATCGGGCTCAGAACTGGCGGGAAATCTTCTGGTCAATTGAAAAGGAACCAGATCGTCAGGTTTCTAGCTGGATGTGAGGAAGATGAGATATTAATATTTTTGCAAAAAGCTCTAAAACTATACAGCACTTACCTAGAGAGCGATCCTTTAGACATAGTGAAAAAAATAACAGACGTGGTAAACTTGGAGAAATTCTTGCCCCCAAAGAGGTTACAAAGCACAGTGAATCTCTTAACTGTCATTTTTGAACAATGCGGAGGCCTGCTTGGTGAAAAATCATTAGGATTCTTGCTGAAGGTACTACTCACAGTAGGTTCATTTCTAAAAGTCGCTCACGAAAATTCAGAGCAAGTACATAGCGGATTCTCAACAATGTTGAGGAACGTCCGCACTTCTAGTATAAAACTTTTAGCACATTTCTATCACCATTTTGATAAGTATCGTTGGACTTGTAGTGAAATCAATGCAGTGTTTACCGTATTCGTATGGCCTTACGTTGATAAATTGAACACTGAAGGTATCCACAGTCCGACGACGCTATTAAAGCTGTTTGTTCAATGGGGGTCAAATCCAAGATATTTCTCGTTGCTTGTCAAATGTAAAGATGAAGAAAATCAGTACGTGTTACAACATGTAATTAAACTTTTCTGCAACGAAAAAGCAAATGTTGCCGTGGTTAATGCTATAGAGGAAATGCTGGAAAAGGTACTTTTGCTTGAGGAGGATGAAGAGGATAAGCATTTGAAAATGCCTGTGGAAAATCTACAGCCGATAGAAAAGAGTATTCTAGAAAAGGTTGGTTCCGTTGCTAATTTGAACTATGGATCGTGTATTTTGCTGCCACATGTGCCTGCTATCTTAGACAAAATCAAGAAAAAACTTATTACCAAAACTAAGAACCTCAATACCAAAGAGCTATTCATTTTATCCCGAGTTTCTGAGCTAGTTTGGGAGCCTGATCTTAGTGACACAGTGCTAGATCTGCTGTTGCCAATTGTGCTGAAAAAAACATCAGCACCAGAAGAGGTTGTGCTGAAATACGTGGAATCAATGTGCAATTTGATCAGAAACGTTTCAAAGCCTGATATACATTTGAAAGAGCTTTCACCACTTTTTGGGCAAGTGACTTACACAACTTCTAGAAAAGTGCTGGTGAAAGTTTTGGAGGTCATTTCAGCAAAGTCTGAAAATGAAGATTTAAAAAATGTAGAGATAATTCCTCAATTGAACGCCTATGATAAAAAATGGGTGGACCAACCAGATTTTGAATGTCGCCACAACGCTTTCAAAAATATCCAATCACTGATGGATAAAAATGAAATAAGCCTTCCTCTAGGCATTTTGATTATCCACAACTGTTTTTTCTTCATGAAAAGTGAAAGAGACTTGTCTCTAAAGGAGAGTTCTTCACATACACTCAGGCAAATTTCGGTGTATCTTCTCAGGACTTTCTCAAAACAAACTGATATTATTCTGAACGAGTCTTTATTCACTTTGATAAGAGCCACTTTGAAAAACCAAGACGATAACGTCAGAAACGAAGCAATACAACTACTAGGTCATATAGTCAGAGAGTGTCCTGAAGCTCATTTCATTCTGACTGATCTGAATCATTTTACCAACAAGGCGGATCCTGAGGTTGACTTTTTCGAAAACTTGACTCATTTGCAGATCCACCGACACGCCAGGGCATTAATAAAGTTCTCTCAAATCACTCAAGAATTAACTGTATCTTTAAACCCAAGAACTTTGACTCAGTTTGTCTTGCCGCTTGCTTCTCACTATCTTTGTAACGAAAAATATGTTGGTAAAAACAGCGTTATAGATGCTGCCATTGAAGCTATAGGAACGATGTGCAGATTACTGCCTTGGCATCAGTATGAGGGGCTTCTGAGGTACTACCTTGATAGTTTGAGCACTAAAATGGAGTACCAGAAGCAACTGGTGAGGTTGACTGTTGCCATTTTGGATGCGTTTCATTTTGATCTGGGGAAAGGTATAGTTGCAAAGAAGGTGGAGGAAGTAGATACGATTGAGGATGACAAAACGGAAAAGAGTGCTGATAAAATGGCTGAAGATGAGAAGGTAAATGACGAAAGTGTGGAGATGGAAAAGGGGGTTGATGAGTATGTGGAGACTGAGGAAGTAGAAGCAGAAGATGCTGAAGAAAAAGAAGATGAGGTTGTGAAGATTACCGAAAAAACAACTGTACTTTGTAAATCTACAGCAACTAGGGTCATTCGTACCATTCAGGTAAGAATTTTCTTGGCATGTGAATATAATAAAGACTCAATTCGCTCATATATAATGGTTTATTGTAGTTTGGACTTCTGCCTAAGTTGCACAAAACTCTAGCAGAGTTGACGCATCATGATACATCTCATAAAATAAATAGAAAAAAGTTAGGTATTCAAAGAGAGGAAGAAGATTTGATGAAAGTCCCTATCTCTTTGGCTGTTGTCAAGCTTCTACAGAGGCTACCAGTTGAAATCATGGAGGCCAATCTACCTGGGTGAGTACAGCAGTTGATAGTATAGTATACTAAGTGACATATAAATCCGAACACCCAGTTTAAATGGTTTTATTTTAATTAAATTTTGTATAAGTACTTAATGAAGCATAATAAGTAAATGATAAAAATTTCAAAATGATTGCACTGCTTTAAAGCCCTTTGACCTTTAATAATGTGTGGATGCACCCTGATGTGCTACGCATTCTCCAACGCGCCTAGGCATGCTTCTGATCAGGTGGTCAATGTCCTCCTGTGGTATCTCATTCCAGGCAACCACCAACTACTCTCGAAATGCTTCTAGAGTCTGAGGAGGACGTTGCAAATTGAGCAATCTCCTACCCATCATATCCCACACGTGCTCAATTGGGGATAAGTCGGGAGATCTTGGTGGCCATAGTAACAATGTGACATCATTATGTTGACAGAAGTCTATTGTGACTCTTGCAACATGTGGTCGGGCATTATCTTGTTGGAAAGTTGGATCTGCCAGGGTGTCAAGATAGGGTAAAAGATGGGGTTCTAGAACTTCGTGGATATAACGCTGCGCGAGCATGTTACCTCTGATGAAGATTAAAGGTGACCTGGAACCATAAGCTATAGCACCCCAAACCATAACTCCAACAGTGTGATGAACATGTCTTTCAACAAAATACTGTGGATTCCTCCTTTCACCACGTCGCCTTCTAAGACAATACTGTTCCATTCCTGATCCCAGAGTGACCGTTGTCGGCAGCACTCAAGGCGATTACCTCGGTGTTCTCGAGTTAAAGGGAGGACCCAGTGTGGCCGGTATGAAAACAAGCCAAAACTTCTCATTCGTCGGTAAACACTTCGCATGCCAAGAGGTCTTCCCTGTTCTGCAAACCATTCATTTGCAATGGACCTGGTAGTGGAGAAACGGTCCCTTAAGGCCAATAATCTTAGGCGGCGATCTTCACGGTCTGTTGTTCTACGGCGGCGTCCAGTGCCCCTTGCTCTTTGCGTACGGCCTTCTCGAAGCCATGCCTGAGAACACCTAACCACAGTGTCTACACTTCTTTGCACTCTAACTGCAATTGCCCGAAAAGAACGTCCAGCTTCCCGAAGTCCCACTATACGGCCCCTATCAAACTCACTAAGTTGACGAAATCGTACAGGTCTCCGTACTCTAGGCATCGTAACCGATCGTAAAGGATGTCAAGAACCAAAATCTGACATCGTTGATTCTTTACTGCGGCTGAAATATTCATTTTTAGAGCGTTAGTGAATTAAAAAAAAGCAGTATAAAAACCGGGATGTCCAACTGATAAGGCTGAAAATTTTTTCACTTGTTATTTACAGTAAGATAAATACATTCACCAACTTTTATCAAAATAAAACCATTTAAACTGGGTGTTCGGATGTCACTTAGTATATTAGTTTGCCCTGACAAAAAATCGTATTTGAAATTCACGGTTTTCACCAAAGGCTATAGGCGAAACTACATGTGAAAATTGCCCCCAAATATATTCAAGTCCGGATCGATCCAAATGAAGCATATTGGGCGAAATCATATTAACTAAATTTTCAGATCGATAGGTAGCTCCTAGGGGCCCCGAACCTCAAACACGTGTTTTATCGAAAATAATTTTTTACCGGCGCAATTTTACTTGAAAAATGATATCCTACGTATAAAATTCAACAAACTGGAGAAAGTAGGCGATAATGTGGTTTCCCATTTTGTGCGATTTTCCGAGCAAAAATCAGGATTTTGTTAGTGAACCTGAAAAGAAGTGGATTTTCAAGTTTGCTAAATTTTTATTACCTAACCAAAAAGTCAAAGAAAAAATTTTTTATCGGTACTATACGTTCCACAAATCCATAAAAATTCACGTATATGTAAGATATAACTATGTAGCATCGCTATTTTTTTATCAAAATTGGAACCGTTTAAAAAATTATTCTCGGCAAACAACTTTGATGTTAAGGGCTCCTATCGATCTAAAAATTTGGTTAAGATGATTTGACGGAATGTACCTTAATTTGGATTGATCTAGATTTGGACATCTTTTCAAATCTAGTTTCGCCTATAACCTTTGTCAAAGAGTGAAGACAATCCCCTTAATTTTACGACGTCAAAATTAATTCTCAAACCTATATTTTTGCAGCGTTTTCATGAAAACCTGCACGTTCCTAAAGTCCCACTTGGACAGCGTCAGGAAAGTAGCCAGAGAAACATTGCAAAAAATTATGCTGACTTTGGGACCAAAGTATCTGAAGCCACTGTTGAATGAAATGGCTCCCTTGTTAAATCGTGGCTTCCAAGTACACGTTTTGGTCTTTACAATCCATGGGGTTCTCAACTGTTTGAAGAATTTGTACCAGACAGGAGACATCGATGAAATACTTCTCACTGTATTGAATGTAAGTGGCTATTAATTTTATTGCTTCATATGAGCGTATTAGAAATAGCTGTTTGATTATTGTCTGGTTCTATTCTACCTTCATTTTGTAGCTTTGCACAGCGGATCTCTTTGGGGTGCTCTCAGAAGAAAAGGAAATAGCTAAGATAGCTGTGAAAGTCTCCGAGGCTCGACATACCAAAACATTCGATACCCTGCAAATTCTGGCGCAGTTTATCAGCGACTCTTGCTTCCTCGACCTGATATTTCCGATCAAAAAAGTTCTGGAGAGAACCCACTCCTTCAAAACGGTATCCCGAGTACAGGAAGCCTTGAGATTCATAGCTCTGGGCTTAGTAGACAATCAGTTCATTCCGGTAGAATCACTTTTGAAGTTTGCTTTTGGCATAGCTTCCAAAAGTATTCCTCAACTTCTTCCAAAAGCAGCAAAACATCAGACGAACAAGGGCGAAAAGAAAAAGATAGAGAAGGAAGATTGTTTCATAATCCAGAAAATTCCTGATAACAGGAAAGCGTACAGAGAGCAGAATGTGAAAATCGCCAGTGATACCAACGCTCATGTGCTGGTGGAGTTTGGGTTGAGGCTATGCCTTTTGCTGCTGAAGAGAGATAAAGTAAGGGACAGCAATTACAAGAAGTTCATGGATCCTTTTGTTAATGTGGTCAAAGACTGCTTGAAGTCCAAGCAAGTCAAGGTAAATATATTACACTATCCGATACCCGGGTCCCTACGCGTTAAATTGTTACTAACATATAACACGTGTGCGTATTTCCGTCTCCAAGGTCTAATCTATCTTATGCTACAATTTATCCAAATTGTTTCAGCCATTTATAATATTATATAGTAGGGATAATTTCTTTGAAAAGTGGACCATTAATGTCGCATATCTGCTTGACCGATTGTTTTACTTTCTTCCAGCTGTGCACCCTGACCTTGCAGTGCCTTACTTATATGTTTAAGTATGATTTACCGTCCTTGAAAAACAATATGAAGGTTATAACAAAAGACATCATGGTCATTTTGCACAAGTACGCCTCAGCAGGACTGAGCAAAGGGGACAATTTTGATTTGGTGATTTCCGCGTTTAAGGTGAGTCTCGTCTAATGCCCTAGACGTCGATGCCGATGTGGGTTAAAAAAAAAATAAAAAAAAAGTGCAGATCATTTTGAATATCATATTTATTTACCACGCCTATCTACGAGGTATCGCGCAAAATTTGAAAAAATGAATGACAGTTACCATGTACAGGGTTGGCCTTGGTCATTTGCACGTTACATATTTTACAAAAATGGAACAATTCAATCTTTTTAGAACACTGCTTATTTCTATTTTTTTTTTCTACAGGATGTTTCAGTTTATTGTTGCATAACTTTAAGATTCGATAGAACTTTTAAAATTAATACATAAAGTCTATATAAACATGGGTCGAAAAATGCGTGGCTTCCGAAATACATGGTGTTTAAATTTACTTTTTAAAATAGTTTTTTTTACATATTTCGAACAATATTTGATGTATAACAGTGAAAATTGGTATACAAAGGTTTTTTGGTACGACAAAACGAACCATGGGTTTTACTGTAGCCGCTAGAGGGCGCTCTCTCCTGTACCTGTAGTGTATTAAAATGAGCGAAATTTTTTTCTTAGTGGAATGTTTCGCTTTTTGAATAAAAAAAACTGATTCTTCGCACTTTTCTGCATAAAAAAGCTCTCCTGAGAGTTTTCGTTATTTCGATTTTTAAGGTTCGATGCATTTTTAATTATTTATGGGAAAATAATATTTTTTTTACATTTTCGATTTGGGCATTACAAGTAACTAAGATGATCGTTTAGGTTGTGTTTTTAGACACAGCAATAATTCCTAACTCCAAATAAACACAAAAACAGAATATTAATTTGTTTAATTTTCCAATATTATTTTTAACAAATTAAATTAATTATTTACAACTAAAATGCTATTGGATAGTTAGGACAAACATACAAAATCTAAAGTAGTTGCTCGAAATGTAAACCCAATTGTTCAATACACAATCTACGAATGATCGAACGTGGTATAGCATTATTCAAATAAGGCCTTATTTCATCACATGCATTCCTGATTCTGTCTATTAGCATATCTCTTGTGATTACGGGAGTCTGGTACACTTTTTCTTTTAGAAATCCCCACACAAAGAAATCTAATGGATTTAGGTCAGGGGATCGTGGAGGCCAGGCGACTGGTCCTCCACGGCCGATCCATCTTTCTGGATAATTTTCGTCCAGCCAGTTTCTAACTATTCTCGAATAATGAGCTGGACATGCATCAAGCTGGAACCAGACCAATCTTCTCAAATCTAACATAACATCATCCCACATATTTGCATGTTCAGCCTTTAAAAATTCCCAGAAGGTCGCAGCATTTAACCTTGCAGGCAAAAGGTAGGGTCCAAATAGTCGATTACGGTAGATACCAATCCACACGTTCACACTAAATTCATGCTGAAAATTTCTCGACCTGCATGCGGATTTTCATGCGACCAAATATGTTGATTATGAAAATTTACCACTCCACGTCTAGTGAAGCATGACTCATCGGTCCATAAAACGTTACTTAAAAACTCCCTATTATTGTCAGTTCTATCAAGAATCCACTGACAAAATGTATGTCTTCGTTCTCCGTCCCCTGGCTGTAGTCCTTCCACAGGTTGCAAATGGTAAGGACGTCTATGTTCATTTCTAAGAACACGGTGAACCTGGCTTGCTGAAATTCCCAAGGCACCAGAAACTCTCCTAACACTTGTGGTCGGATCTCTATCAAACTCACGCAGAATCATACGGGTAAATTTGCGCTGACGAACATTTATGTTTTGATCCCTTTGGAGATTTCCAAAACCATTTTCAATTATTTTTCGATGCACTCTTACAAATACTGAGCGAGTTGGATGTCGTCTGTTTGGAAATCTTCGTGCGTATTCTCTGACTGCTTCTGCTGCGTTTCCATTTACAAAGCCATACTCAAAATGAATATCCGCTAACTCTTGATTGGAGAATAAAAATGGCATTTTTATAAAACTTACAAAAAAAACAGGTAAAAGAAACTAAATTTCGTGCATTCACAATTGCAAAAAAACGTTTCAGGTTTCAACAGACAACAAAACTAACTGTCAACTAATTGACGTTTAACCTTATTCTGCTTTCAATTTCAAAAATATTTGCAGGCACAGCCTACTTCTAAAAATTATCGAGATGCTGACCTTTAACGTTATTTTATCATAAATAATTAAAAATGCGTCGAACCTTAAAAATCGAAATATCTCAAAAAACGGCTAACTATAACGAAAACTCACAGGCGAGCTTTTTTATGTTGAAAAGTGCGAAGAATCAGTTTTTTTATTCAAAAAGCAAAAAATTGCACTAAGAATTTTTCGGTCATTTTAATACACTATACGTACAGTAAAGGGCGCCCTCTAGCGGCTATAGTGAAACTATGCCCATGCTTCGTTTTGTCGTACCAAAAAACCCTTGTATACCAATTTTCACTGTTATACATCAAATATTGTTTGAAATATTTAAAAAAAACTATTTTAGAAAGTAAATTTAAACAAACTGTATTTCGGAAGCCACGCATTTTTCGACCCATGTTTATATAGACTTTATGCATTAATTTTAAAAGTTCTATCGAATCTTAAAGTTATGCAAAAATAAACTGAAACACCCTGTATATTATATGTTTATTTATAACTTAAAATTATTTCATTTAAGCCCTCCCTATTCTGTGCAACTAACATACCATTCTTATTTCCGCCCAAAATCGCAATAACGAAGATCATAACGAAGCAACGAAATGACAGCACCAAAAACTCTCTAATAACTTCTGTTTTACTTTATAATTTTTGTGATATCGCTCAATTTTTAGGCAGTGGCAGTGCTGGTCAGAGACGCAAAGTACCACATAATCGATGTGAATCAACTGAAAGTACTACTTCTGTACGCCGAGCAAGATATTCATGATCATGAAAGGCAAGCAACAGCCTTCAGTCTCCTCAGATCCATCATTGCCAGGAAACTTGACGTTTCTGAGATGGCTGATGTAATGGGCAAAGTGGCCGAATTGAGTATCATATCAGAACTAGGTAAGATTGAGTTAAAGAAAGTCGTATACGTCATCAAAAACGTGATATTTTTTTCAGAACACGTAAGAGCTCAAGCAAGATCTGTCTTCCATCTATACATGATGGATTATCCACTGGGAGATTCCCTGGAAAAACACATAGGATTCTATATTTCCCAAATGAGCTATGAGATGAAATATGGGAGGCAGTCAGCTATTGAGATGATTCATACTTTCATCAATAGTTTTCCAGTGGTAAGTTGCAGTTGATAAGATTTTAAAAGTTTTTGCCCTTTTTTTCTGCTAGTTGACCTAGTGTGTTCTCCAAGAAGATGCCTAACCATATGCTGTATTTAGGCGTCCACTAACAATTTCCAACTAGTATTGCAGTATTTCCCTTGGAAGTTATAAAAACAGACTATTTCCGCATAGTTACAGCTTTCAGTTGGATGTTGGGAAGAATATATTAAATAATGTTCGTTGTGAATATATTTTCAAAGAAACTACATGATCTATGAACAGCATTTCACAGCTTATGTATCACTACTCAATTTTTCTTGTTACAGAAAGTTCTTAACACTCAAAGTGGGACTCTTCTAATAACCTTGGGAGCAAGATTGGTTAATGATGACGATCCAGACTGCAGAAAAGCTGTTGCGGATTGCATAGTTTCAATGCTACAAAAACTGCCCAAGGAAGATTATGAACCTTTATTTGACATTGTGACAACATGGTTGAAAGACAAGAATTTGAGTCATAGAAGACTTGCGGCTCAACTTTGCGGACTTTTTGTTACAGTGGAAAAAAGCGCCTTTGAGACTAGAATCCCGAAGCTGTCTCCTCTTATCTTGAAGCAGTTTGGACTGGAGTCTGAACCCGGAAAGTTTGTCAAACTACAAAAAGAGAAGAAGAACCAAGAGACTGAGGAGTACCAACATGTTAAAGACCATCACTTGTTCCAGGTCCTTCAATTTTTGCTAAAACTTTGCGCGAACTGTCCGGCGTTTTTGAGGAACAAGGAGCTCATTGAAAACCTCGCAGTGCACATCCAGACGTTGCTCAGTTACCCACACGAATGGGTAAGATTGGCCGCAGCGCAGTTTTTGGGTTACGTGTTGTCTACAATGGATACCGAGCGCTTATCCAAGTTACTGCTAGAACGCAAGACTGAAGATTCCGGATTTCTCTACAGCGATCCAGAAAATGCGCTCAAGTCACTAACTCTGGACCTCTGCGATCAGTTACAGCCAGGCGTAACGAACGACCTGGCAGAACAAGTGGTGAAGAACCTAGTATTTGTGGCTAGAGTATTGCAGCATATTCCTCTAAAAGCTAGCGATAGCGACAGTAAACTGAACCTGCTCTGGCTAGCCAAACGTATGCGAAAAATAGTGAATTCCGAAATCGTCGAAAAAGCTTCGGTGATAGTGTTGAGGACAGAAGTGTTCAAGTGGATCGCGGGGGTGATCACGGCTTTAGATATGGAAAAAGTACGACCAGTCTTACATCACCTGATGGCACCTCTGGTCAGAGAACTGATCACGACCGAGGAAAAGAACGCGCCATTGAGACAATTGGCGAAAGAAGTGACGAATATGTTGAAGAAGAAGATTGGAATGGAGGAATACACGCAGGTCCTTTCGAAATTGCAGCAGAATCTGAGCGTGAAAAGGGCCGAAAGGAAGAGAGCCAGGACTCAATTGGCGGTGACGGATCCGGAGATATTCGCGAAAAAGAAATTGAAAAGGCAGGAGAGAAAGAAGGAGTCGAAGAAAAGGAAAATGGCCGAAATGAAGGGCAAGAAACTGTTCAAAAAGAGGAAAGTTTTGGATATGGAACTGGATAGTTCGGAAATATTTTGAAAGGCAATTTTTCAATCTATTGTAAATAGTTAGGCTATGTATATAATAAAAATGTTTTTACTGTTTTGTTTACAAAGGTGTTGTTTATTTTCTCATTTCTACGTGTTTATCCAATGTCAGATGTTTGAAGACCTGGTTAAGTATTGCGTCTGTGGCAGCAGGAGATCATCAGCTGATTATTCTTCCATGTAAGTTCTTTATTAGTGTTAAGCATCGGTAGCTTTAAGAACATTTAAAATATTCACTATTTTTGTTCTGCATACAGTCTAGATTTTTATATTCTTATTTTTTAACAGTCCAACAGAAATCGGCGCCCTATGCCCCATTCGTATTCCATTTACGCCCAGACAAAACACAACATGTCCAAAAGCGAGGTTGTGCAGGTCCGTATTTTCCTCAATGGTCTTGGAATAGTCTAACAAAATAAATGATTATTTTTATAGAAAGAAGTGCACATACTTTTCACAATTCCTTATTCGCTGGAAGTACTTGAATCATCGTCCGAATGGTTAATATTAATTATTACAGGTTCAACTTGAATATCGATCATATTGTCCAGATCCCTCATCTCTGTTTCGATTGTCTCTTGAACGCGACGGATGTAATATTTCCAGTAGTTTGCCGTCACTCTGTTGGCAGCTTCATAACACAAATTTTTCACGTCAGAAAATTTGAATTTCTCTTGCTTGAAGACACATCGTTTTTTGAACATGGAAAACGGATATTACGCATATAAAGTAGGTTATTAGGACTAAAATAAAAACTGAAGATCATAAAACCATATATATTTTACTATTTTTACCAAAAAAATATCTGTACTCATTTGAGTACAATGGGCGAAACCGTTTATTTTGTATGACGTAACTTGAAGCAGGCACGTTCAATACGTAGTGTTGACGAACCCTTGAATGGCATACTGTACATCGTAATTGCTTCTCTAGCTTCGCAGGAAAGTGTCCGAATTTATGAAGGATTTCATTTCTTCTTTGGTGTCGAGTATTTTGAGATGCGTATAACATGGACTGATCGACAATATGCCGCAAAACCGTGTCATCAAAGAAAAGTTCAAATAGTTGTACTGGATTTAAATCCTTTATCTCTTCCACTAGTTTATCCCTATTGGCATTCATTTCACATAAAGGTGGCGGCTCAGACCAAATGGAATATTCAGGATTGCATTTCTCCCAGTCCAAGTCATCGTGTTTAGATTTATTTAGGTATTTGTATACGTTTTCGCAATTCACTCAAATGCTCTTCGTCGCTGTTTCAGAACTCGTCATTAGCTGAACTTTGGCGAAACAGCTATAAACGACCAGAAACATCTTGTGGCATTCCATTTGCCATCAGTTGCTTTTCGTCCAATTCCTCCTTGTCAGTCAAATAACGCGCGTCTGGGGAAGCAAGACCACAAAATCAGCGTTTCTTTTAAATCATCTCGAGCATCAGGCAGAAAATTGTAATACTCGTATGTTTTAACAGGATCATCAAAAAACGGTAAAACAAAAAAAATAGCATTAGTCAACTGATAACGAATTTGCCCAGTGTACTCATTTGAGTACAGTCAAACTTGAACATACATTCTAATTACATATACATAATATAAAAATATTATGTTTATTAGATGGTCACCTCAATAAGAAAAAATTATGTAAAATCCGAACTTACCTTAGATCAAATAAGCAGTAACTTCGATTACTGTAAACAACGACACATTCACAGAATTTATGATAAATGGCTCTTGCGCCCTGTCGCATGCACCATCTACAAATGTTTATAAAAGGCAGTACTTCTGTGGTTGACTCAGAGATGGCTCTGATAGGAACAAACACGAGTGTACTCGCTTGAGTACAGCGGGCGTTAATGGGTTAAGATTTCTACAGGGTGTCCGCAAAGTTGGGGTTTTTCTTTTCAGAAACAACTACCCTTGAAATAACACAGGTAATGTGTAGTGAAACGAGGGCGACCAAGTAAAAAAAATAAAGGAAAAAGTACTCGCTCTCCAGTTGACGAGAAGGGCTAAGTACGTCTCTGACCGAAATCATACCGCTCCAATAGAAAATGAAATCAGCTGATGCGCTACCGAGCAGACGCAGGCAAACAAGGATGGCAAAATATTGAGTAAAAAGTCTAGGTATTGCATCACGTCCAATCGATTTGGGAGAATAAATGGTCCAATGAGCATACCGTTCACCATGCCAGCCCAAACATTCACCGAAAATGTTTGTTGAAAATGTGCCCGACGGACAGCGTGCAGATTTTCTACTGATCGAACATGAGTGTTGCGAAAGTTATTCACCCCATTACGCGTGAACGTAGATTCGTCTGACACCAATATGAACTTCAAAAAGTCCGGATTATTGTCATGTTGATGCAACAACCAATCACAAAGCCGCACTCTTGCTGGAAAGTAGTCAGGTTGAAGGGCTTGTACACGTTGGACGTGAAACGGATACAGCCCCTCTTCACGCAGCGTTTGCCTCACTTTAGTTTTTGATACTTGCACTTCTCTAGCCACGTCTCTAGTGCTTGTTGATGGATTCTCGTCTACGCGATTACCTCTACACGCGCGACCGTAACCGTCGGTTGAAGGTTGCATACTGACCTGACACACTGACCCCGACCCAGTTCTGTCGTCGGGTTGAGCTAGTGTCCTAGTACCACTCGGGGATGTCCCAGCTACAGGACGGTATTCAGATATTTTTGATGTTGCAGAGCCCTTTATCTCGGTTCCATTAAGACATTGGTGTATATGGTACTAAGAAAAATTGCTTATGTTTTCAAGATCTACACGTCGTGTAAAGGAAAATCCCAACTTTGCGGACACCCTGTATTTATATTTGTGCTGCCTGACCAGATGGATACGTTCTGCTTTGACCATATTTTCACCGAAACTAATGGCATTTCATCGGAGCCATTGATGCATTTCTGCCATTCTTATGGACATTGTAGGAATTTTTTCTAGTTTTCTGTGCCAGTGTGACAGATAGCAAAACGTTTCCCTTTTCCTGGACATAATTATTTCATATTGTATTCAAGAAAACTAATAATAATACAAGCACACCACCATTTTTACTACACAAATGACGAATTAGTTAGATACACGTACCTGACGGATTCTTTAGACCAGTGATTAGTTCATCTAAGGCTTGTCTTGCTGATTTAATTGTAAAGTCAGCCCATACCTTTTATGGTATGTCCTGCTTTTATCCAGGTTTCATCCAAGTAATAAACCTTCCCGCCCTGGTCGCGGTATATCTTTATTGATTTTAAATAGTTTCTTCTCCATAAAATAATCTCTTAGCCGTCCATCAAAATACTATTTCTGTCCCGTTTTCTATACTCAAAATAAATTCCTTGAGTAAACTATAGATTGTGGTCTTTTTGAAAGTAGGTAAGTCTTCATCACTATTAACCTCCTACAATACTTCGTCTATGGTGGGAAGTTCCTGCCTTTAAAAAATTGATGGACTTTGCGTCTAATGGCATTTCGATCAAAATTATTAACTGTATCCAACAGCTTTGCGTAATACAGCCTCTTGTATGGTGGAGACAATATTTTGTTAATAAAAACACTTTTTAACAATTCGCTTGTTTTTTATTATGTCTTTTTAATGCAGCACTAAAGACCTTACAAAAGTATTATAAAGACATCTTTAAGACACACAGTTTTTGTAATAAACTTCGTCCTTACAACTTCTTTAAGATGCTCAGCGTTCACGGGACGTTTTTACGACGTCTCTAATAGGTATCTCAACGCTTTTAAAACATCTATAAGATACGAGGGTGGTCCCAGAAGTACCCGGCCTGACCTAGAAATGGCGATAGTTGTTTGAAAAATATCACTGTATTAGAAAGTATGCAACCTAAAAAGCATATGTGTCAAGTTTGAAGACGCCACGTTGTTTAGTATTTGTGGCAGCCATCAATACTGAACGTTTTCAGTGAATTTGTGAAAATGGAGAAAATTGGCCATCGTTATATGATACAATACTTTTATTTCAAAGGTCTCAGCCCAACCAATATAAAAGCTAAACTGGATTCTACTCTGGCTGAGTCTGCTCCTTCGTTTACAATAGTAAATCAAGCAAAAACGGCCGCATTTGGTTAAGAAGAAAGTGTTGTTTGATCAAGACAATGCACCAGCTCACAAATCCGTTATTGCATCAATGGCCAAAATTAACGAATTAAAGTTTGAATTGCTACCTCATGCGCCCTATTCACCAGATTTAGCCCCCTCGGATTATTTTATGTTTCAAAACTTGAAAAAATGGCTCAGTGGTCAGAGATTTTCCAACGATGAAGAAGTGATGTCGGCAGTTAATGGCTATTTTGAGGAGCAAGTTCTTATTATAAAAAGTGTATCGAACTTATTGAACATCGCTGGGAAAAGTGTATAGAGCACAAACGAGATTAGGTTGAAAAATAAATACATTTTTTCACAAAAATTTTGTGTTTTCTTCGTTGGGTCGGGTACTTCTGGGACCACCCTCGTATAGTTGTGCTATTTGTGCTGACCTTTTATTTGCAATCTAAAATATTTTTAATCTTGAACCACCTGTTCCAAAACGACCATACGGTACAGTTTCCTCGCCCTTATTGCGACTCTGACTACGCCAATGCTTCGGCGCCGGCATATCGGTACTTTCACTGGCGGTCGTGCGTCGAACACCTCGCCAGTAAGTTACGTAACCCATATCATGGTTCACATAACCTCAAAACGTGCAAGGTGAACATCACAAGGCATCATTACCGCAAGCGGTAGTGAGATAGCATTGTCCGCTAGCTGCCGGGACTTTCTCTTCTGAAGGAGATCCAGTCAGTACGATGCCAAAGTCAAGGGTGGCCGTTCACGCAACGCGATGCTGTTGATCTTTCCAAGGCACGCTGCGATCTTCTTTCCAAAGCACGCCGCGATTTTCTTTCCAAAGCACCCTGCGATTTTCTTTCACGTTTTATCGGCTCTGAGGCACAAGAAACTAATTCGATATAGGTCGTTAAAATGAAAATGAACTACACTAGAAGATGATTGTATGTGGGCTTTGACCAAGGTTCCAGATATGCAGGAACTTTGAAAAGTTGCCTCAACTGTGTCTGCCTCTCTCAATGTAAAATTTACTTTTTCGTCGTCGGTGGCTACGAGCTAACGAAATTAGGCAAACTAAGGTAATTTGGGAAGCTGAATTTGAGAATATGGAGTGCAAAATATTCTAAAATGTATCGATAAGTTCTATTGGAATAGGAAAGTAGGCCTAGACTAAAATGGTGTCTCAAACTATGACCAACTGCAGACAGCGGTGTCTCGTGCTCCTTAGCAACCAATCAGTGCGATTTAGGTTTGGTCTTAGAAACAGGCGAAGGGAAAACAAGCAGGTGGGTTTGGTCTTCTGAAAAACTCAAACTTATGTTAGTTGCTAATAAGCACGAAACAGCACTGTCTGCGATTGGTGCTGGTTACATAGACGGAAAGCACACATATCAATGTCAGCCTATATCTATGCATATATGCATTAAAATCAGTCGTTGGCTTGCTTCGTGTATACTTAGTATTGCTATTCCTTGACCAGTCTACGGTGATAGTGGTGCGACATCTTCTGGACTAGCTAAGAACGTCGAGAAGTTGTGAGCGAGGCGACGTAAGGGTCCTCTGTCATCTTTGTTGTATGGGATCAGAATGAGAATCAGCTAGGCAATCAATTGGTAGGGGACGTACACGTATACTTCTATGTATGGAGGGGGCTTTAAGACAAATACCTTTGTTATAAACTTTAGCGCAACGCTGCCCATCATGGCGAGATGGTGTAATGCACATCCGTAGTGGGATGCATAGCGAACGACTGAGTGGTTTTCGTATGCTATTTTAGCGATTTGGAGAGTCTCACATTTCGGATAGGAAAGGCTGATAGAAAGTATCCTTTTGAGCTTTTCTGCCTGAGAATGCCTATGAAAGCTTCCCTTGTCTAGAAAAAGAACTCGTAGCGCATTTTATCAGAGATTAAGATACACCATTTTTTTCAGTAATGCATTGAACTTTCTTCGTGCAAGGTTTACATTTTCGTTGTGCCCCATCGATGCTAACCAGAAATCAACGAGCTGGTGATCTACTCGCAGACATCGCTCTTTCGTCTTGTAGCACAATCACAGGAAGTGGAAGATTGACTAGCCTTAAAATTTTATATAGAAAGCTTAAACAGCATTACAACAACCAAAACATTGCACAAGTTCTGTAATACTCGATTTAAATTATATACTAAGTGACATATAAATCCGAACACCCAGTTTAAATGGTTTTATTTTAATAAATATTGTATAAGTACAAAATGATTGCACTACTTTAAAGCCCTTTGACCTTTAATAATGTGTGGATGCACCCTGATGTGCTACGCATTCTCCAACGCGCCTAGGCATGCTTCTGATCAGGTGGTCAATGTCCTCCTGTGGTATCTCATTCCAGGCAACCACCAACTCCTCTCGAAGTGCTTCTAGACTCTGAGGAGGACGTTGCAAATTGAGCAATCTCCTACCCATCATATCCCACACGTGCTCAATTGGGGATAAGTCGGGAGATCTTGGTGGCCATGGTAACAATGTGACATCATTATGTTGGAAGAAGTCTGTTGTGACTCTTGCAACATGTGGTCGGCCATTATCTTGTTGGAAAGTTGGATCTGCCAGGGTGTCAAGATAGGGTAAAAG